GAAGAAGCGTTGCTGACAAACTTGCCTGAAGGCGAGTTGGGCCGGCTGGCCAAAGCCCTGAAAGATTACAGGAAGCTGAAGGTCTTGCGCCTCCGCAACATTGAGGTGGGTGAAGCAGAGGCCGAGGAGTTCTGCAAGGTGGGGCCGCCGTGTCTCGAGGGCGCTTGTCTTAGAAAAAGCTCTTTTCAGGCACTTGGGCTGAACGACACAATCACAAAGCTGGAGATCCGAGTCCGTTTTTCCCATCGAAAACGGTGTTCGGCTCTGTGGAAGGCACGAGCTTTCACGGTGACAGAGATACGATAGCTTGCTCCCGGCCCCGTTGCTCCCCTGAGAGGCACTCGCAGATGTTCTGAAATCCAACAGTACCATCACCGACATCATACTCTGTGACACTCAGATCGGAGACGAGGGCGCCAAGGCCAGGCGGTGCCCGCGGGGTGTTTGCATCTTGCAATTTCGACCCCGCGTTTCTGCTGAGAGGCACTCGCAGATGCCTTGAAGTCCAACTGTACGGTCACCCACGTCAACCTCGAGGGCAACCGCCATATCGGAGACGAGGGTGAAAAGGCCAGGCGGTGCCCACGGGGTCTTTGCAGCTTGCAGTTTGGACCCCGCATTTATGTTTCTTTGAGAGGCACTCGCAGATGCCGTGGAGTCCAATCGCACCGTCACCGTCAAGCTCAACTGGCGCCAGCTCGGAGGCAAGGGCGCCAAGGCCAGGCGGGGCTCCCGGGGTTCCAGGCGGCAATTTTGCATCCCGCAGATGCTCTGAAGTCACCCGCGTACTGTCACCGGCATTGACCTCGCATGGAATCGAAGCACAGATGACAAGGTTCCTCGGGCCCGTGGGGAACCCGAAGCTTCGGCGAGCTTGTGGCNNGTTGCTGCCAGGACATCGAAGAATCGTATTCTGCAGATGCAATCAAGTCCCAGGTCGGGGCCCTAGCAGCCCTAGCATCCTCAAAATTGCGGGGTCCTGCATAAATATTGTTCGTGATGCTTTGTTAAGTGCTTCGCGCGCCCGGGTCTACGACACACGGATCTTCAGCACCTCCGCAACTCCGGAGACAGCAGGCTCTTGCCGGAACTGGTTTACAAACCCACGAAAGAGGCAGAGACCTTGGAGTGCGCATCAGCCGGGGCGAGGTGGCCGAGGCCTTGCAGGTCTGGCCGGGCCTGCGTGCCGCTTTGCCTAGGCGGAGCAGAGCAGCTGATGTTTGAGGGAGTAGTGACCCGAATCTGTGCTGCACACTGCGTGCCCGTTGGCCTTTGCTGGGTAGGTCCCAGCGACGAGGTCACGATTTATACACTGTCGTCCATCGCTGTTTGCAAGTGCTTGGTTCTTCTGGAGAGCATCTGCTGCCTGAGTACCCTTCGTGGGCATGTTGACTATTCCCCGCAAAACAAAACGAAACAACAACCCGCTACACATGAGACGGTGGTCTGTGTGCGGGGGCAGGACGGCAGGCCTCCACTGTCAGAGCCGCAAATGAGCCTTCCCCGCTCCGCCGAGGCTTGGACGGGGAAAGTCCGCATCAAGGACTGCTGTGCCGTTGTCCGGCATACTTTCACGCACAGTCGTTCCCGTGCTAGGAGCTCGCGTCTCAGCTGACGACCAACAGTGGTACCACCCGTCTAAAACTTGGATTTCAGGACATCACAGCGGAGGACTGCCAGGCGCCGTGCCCACAGAGACATTGCAGCCTTAGACTGGTCTGCTCGCTCTTGACGATCAGCCGTGCATTCACCAACAGCGAGAATTAATTTCTTTGTGGCTTGAGTCCCGTCGCGAGGCTCTCGCAGACGTTCCAAATGTTCTGACGATTTCGGATGTAATTTGCAGTCACCTACATCAACTGCGCTAGAAACCAAGCCGGAGAAGATGAGCCCGGCCCGGCGTTTCCGCTGAGAGGCACTGGCAGCTGCACTGNNGTTCGGTCACCCACGTCAACCTCCGTCAAAACCGGATCGGAGACGAGGGCGCCAAGGCCAGGCGGTGCCCGCAGGGTCTTTGCAGCTTGCAGTTTCGACCCAGTGTTTCGCCAGAGAGGCACTGGCAGATGCCTTGAAGTCCCACTGTACGGCCACCGTCATCGACCTCCATGGCAACAGGATCGGAGACGAGGGCGCCAAGGCCAGGCGGTGCCCACGGGGTGTTTGCAGCTTGCAATTTCGACCCTGCGGTTCCCCTGAGAGGCACTCGCACATGCCCTGAATTCCAATCGAACCGTCGTCATCCACATCGACCTCCATTACAACTACATCGGAGACGAGGGTGCCAAGGCCAGGCGGTGCCCAAGGGGTCTTTGCAGCTTGCAATTTCGACCCCGCCTTTCCCTGAGAGGCACTCGCAGATGCCTTAAAGTCCAACAGTACGGTCACTCACGTCAACCTCGATTACAACGAGATCGGAGACGAGGGCGCCAAGGCCAGGTGGTGTGTACGGCGTCTTCGCAGCTTGCAATTTCGACCCCGCGTTTCTGCTGAGAGGCACTCGCAGATGCCTTCAAGTCCAACTGTACGGTCACCCACGTCAACCTCCATGGCAACAGGATTAGAGACGAGGGCGCTAAGGCCAGGCGGTGCCCACGGGGTCTTCGCAGCCTGCAATTTCGACCCCGCGTTTCCCCTGAGAGGCACTCGCAGATTCCTTGAAGTCCAACTGTAGGGTCGCCGACATGGACCTCGGATTCAACGAGATCGGAGACGAGGGTGCCAAGGCCAGGCGGTGCCCACAGGGTCTTCGCAGCTTGCAATTTCGACCCCCGCTTTCCTGTGAGAGGCACTCGGAGATGTTGGTGTCTTCGTGGGGAGGTGATTGAGGCCAGCACTTCGGGTGCATCAGTCGATGCTGCGGAGCACAGGGAGAAACACAAAAGAACAGGCTCGTTTGTTTTCCCTTACTCCGCTCAGTGATGCGCCAAAAGTGGCTGCCAGGGCCTGAATCTCATGGTAGCATCATAGCATCAGACTAACTACCTAGTAATTAGTAAATACTAGTTTTTCAGTGTATCAGTATATATGTAATGATGAAGTACCCAGAAGCCGTAGACCATCACTGAACCATGTAATCTCCATTTCTTAAACCACTGTCGAAGTATTCAGGTCCGGATCTTATTTTGGGGCAAGGCCCATGCCCCGAGGTCTTTCCCACACAAGGTTTCTCCCTAGGCCCAAAGAAGTTTCGCGCCAGAAGCTCTGGAAAGTCGGTCCCGTTGACAATCCGATCGCAGCTTCCGCTGAGAGGCTACGGCCAAAAATCTCAACACCACCGGCTTCCGCGTCGCTTTCGCCTCGTAAACCCTATAAGCCCTAAGCCCTTTTACGCCAGCTCCCCCAATTCGTGACGTTTCTGGTGAGATATTTCTGCATCATGCGGCTTCTCAAGACAACGCTGTCTAGTGTGCGAGGCGGAAGCGAGAAAGATACTGAAATTGCCCGCTCAATGTAGGAGACTATAGATACCATGTGCGGGGTGGCTCTTGTCTTAAGCCTAATGATACTTCTTGTTATATGGTATATGATCTTATGATATTTACCTCTCGAGGTTTAGGTCGGGGTTGAGGGTAGATCTCGAGCTCCCGGTTTCACTCGTAGCCCGTCGCAGCCAGACCAGAAGCACCAGGATGCGGCCGCCCCAGTGCGGCAGATGGGTTTTGGGGCATACCCAGCAAAACTGATGATATTTTCCCTAGACACCGACTCTTCGCAGCAACCTGGGCTTCGTAATTCACTTTGCGCATTGAGTGATGTGACTGCCGTGCCACCCACAAGAGCTCATGTGCATGCAGGGTTGAGGGTTCCGGGCTGTGTATGATATATTCCTAAACCCTAAACCCTGAACTTTAAATCTTTAAGCCCGATCGGCCTAGCTCCTAAGCCCTACAAGCCGGTGTACCTTTACAGGAGCGCTGAGAAGCCCAGAAACCCGGAGCTCCCCCCACCTGACAGGGCGCAGGTCCCTGAAAAAAGGTACCGGGGCTTTGGGGCCTCCGGGGGGGCTCTGGGGGTTTTAGGGGGGCTCAGGGTTGAAGAGGCTTAGGGTTAAGGGGCCCTAGGGTTTAAGTTAAGGGGGCTTCGGGTTAGGGGTTTATAGGGGCCTTTTCCACGTTGAGGGCTTTCGGGGTCTTGATTTCAGGCAATTGGGGCGTTAGAGTTCAGGTTTGAGGCTTTGGGGTCAGGATTTTGGGCATTGAGGGAGGCTAAGCATGTGCTGTCCCCCAAAACCTTACTGCTGGCTCCTAGAGCCCAGGTCGGATGATCTCGCGTAGTAGTCGAATTGCCGTCCTCAATAATCCTAGGAGCAGTTTAGGGCCTCGGGTCTCGTAAGACTGGCAGGAGCCCAGCGAAGCA